AGCTGCACAGTGAACTGTAACCAGGGGGAAGAGACTAAATAACAGAGCCCCTCTAGAAGCCACGGGATCCCGGCGGCAAGGAGAGCAAAACACTGAAGACTCTAGAAAAGCAAAGCCGGATTTCTTCTGGAAAGTGCAGAATTCTTTTGGTTCTTTGGTTCCAGAGAGAGAGAAGATGCTTGTGCCAGGTGGCACCAGAGTTTGCCAATTGATCCTTCTTATTCTGTGTGTACATGCAAAGATTGGACCATGTTACATGAAATAGTGCCAGCTGGAGGTTCTTTGCCAGCACCATGCCAAGTGAAATAATATATTTACTCTCTCTATTATACACCAGTGTGTGCCTGCAGCAGCCTCCACAGCCACGATGGGTTTGCTTTTGTTTCCTTGGGCGGGGAGCAGGGACGGGCGGAGGGAGGAGAGCAGGTTTCAGACCCTTATTTGAGAGCCGTTTGCTTAGGTAGAGAAGATGAGTCCAAAGAGTGTGTGGGCTTTCCTGTTTCTAAACTTTCACTACTATAAAACCAAAAAAAGGAAATTGAGATTTAACCGACTCCAGTGCCGAGAAGAGGGAAGGGGAGTGGCTGGGAGGGATGGGGTGGGAAGGTGGAGTGACCAAGCAGTATTTAATATTGTCCCGAGGGGGCTAGAGCAAGGGAGGTGGATGCCTAGAACAGCCCATAGTTCTCCCCACATGCTCTGTTCCCCACACGGGGATCCCCACCACTCCTGAGTCCCCTTCCCTCTCTGCTTGGTGAATCGCATCCCATGGTGATCCTGTCGTGTCTCCTCTCCAAGAACAAGCAGAGCCAGGCCCTGGCCCGTGCCCAAGGCAGGGAAGAAGGGCGTGTGTGTCCAGGAAGGGAAACAGGTGGATCAGTGATTTTACTTGAAAACAAGCTCCATCCCTTTTCTATATTTATAAGAAGAGAAGATCCTAAGCGAAGCAGCACGCGACCCAGGTGTGTGTGAATTGAATGGAGACGTTTCTTTTCTCTTTTATTTTTGTTTTTGTTCTTTTCTTTTAAAAAAAGTTTTATTTTATTGTTTATTTTACTTTCTTGGTAACAAAAACTAAAATAAGGAATAGAAAAGCTGTTTTTCAGGCTGACAGTCCAATTAAGGGTAGTCGAGACCTTGCATGGTAGAATAGGAATCATAGTGTCAGTGAGGTCCAGTGAGTCTTTGTGAGTCCTTGTGTCATCGTTCGGGCACTGTTTTTTTATGCAAGGGCAAAAATCTTTGTATCTGGGGAAAACAACAACAACTTTTTTTTAAATTAAAAAGGAAAATAAACGATATTGAGGTCTTCCTAGTGTTACTTAAAATTAAGATCAAGGTAAGAAACATTGTAAAAAAAAATTACAAAAGTGCTATTTGTTTCCTAAAAACAGTGATTTCTATTAAAAAGGTGTCAGAACTGGAGAAAATGCCGTGTAGTTATAATTTTTTAGCACAGAACCTGCTGATCATGATGACGTGTTGCTGTGTGTGTCTCTAGACTGGTGGGCTGGCCTCCGTGAAGGTGCCCCACTACTCTCCCCTCCTCAGAAAATACTGTCCTCTCTTCTTGGTGCAGGGATCTTGTCTCTGTTTTTGAAGCCCAAATGGAGTGTGGATGGTATCAGGGCCCTACCCGTGGTCTCCTCAGATGTTGCTAGAGCAAAAGGCTGGTGCCTAAATAAGATCCCTTCCTTTGGTGCTGCTCTTGGTCTTTCAGCCACCAGCATTATGAGTGCCTGGGGACACCTTTGAGGGAAGTGGCCAGTGGACGTCAGTGGTGCTTTTGCACCCTGGCCTTGGCGGGAGGGTATGGGGTGCAGACTGGCTGCATCAGCCCTTGGTGCTTAGAAAGAACAAAGGACCAGTGAGATGTCTTGAGGGTGAATTAGAGCCCCAGGGTAGCCTTGTTGTCTGTCTTGCCTTGGAAGAGAGGTGCAAAGCTCCAGCGCTTTCTCTGCCTGCTGGCTCCAGGCTCCAGAGATGGAATTTACTACACTCCACCCACCCATTCCTGGGTGAGCCCTGGCTAGAATTGCTGTGCTTGCCTTGGCTTGGACTGTCGTGGCCTCTCCTTCTGGAGAAAACTAGGGTTCTGAAAGCTCAGACCATTTCTCTCTTCTTGCCTAGTGGGAATAAGTTGTGTCAGAAGCGTGCTCTTGCTGGAGACCTTTGTCCATTGCGTGCCCCTAGGGGTTGACAGGAGGGAGGCCGAGGCTTTGTACCCATGTCCTACTGGAACATCTCCCCCAAGTCTGCCCCAGGACCTTGTAATGGCCAGAGTCTAGGAGTGGCTGAAAAGGCCCATTAGCTTTTCTTCCACCCAGTTAGGCCCAGAGAGACAGGTCGTGAAAACAAATGCAGCAGAGAGGAGAGGCTTCACAGAGTAAAATGTGTCTCGTCCACATCAGCCATTTCCATTCACCTTCCTGAGGATGCCAGAAGAGGGAATTAAGTTTGGCCGGACAGACCTCAGTTAGGCCCTGGCTGCTAGGCTGGTTGAGGAGGCCAGAGAAGAGTTCCCTTTTCTCATTCAGAAACCAAGGTGCTATGTCTCGTCAGGGAGCTTTGGAGATGCCTGGACGAGTAGAGGAATAGTTGGCGGAGAAGCGGAAGGCTGGATGCCTATCTCAGAGCTCTCCCCTGGGACTTGTCTGGGCCCGCAGGGGTTGCCACACAATGCCTGTCTGTTCCTGAAGGAAGTTGGGAAGCCATCACCACTAGAGGCCTTTGGTTGGAGAGGAGCTGCCTGAGGAGTCTCGGGACGGGGGACAGGGCTAGGAGTTGACCAGTGTTTTGCCTGCTGCTCTGAGCAGTGTCTACTGCACTCTCACTCCGCCTAAAGTTGGGGCGTAGATTCTTCCTAAGGCTCAGATGTGAGCTGTTTTGTGAGTTAGCTGGTATGGAGTACGAGATGCAACCCTGCCCCCCAAACCTACATCCTGGACTCAAATTCCAGGACACTGCTTTACTATAAAGAAAGGTCTCTCTTCTTGCCATGTCACTCAATCTCCTTTTCCTTTACTGTCATGACAGAAGAGCTCCACTCTCTTCCTCCAGACTGGGTGCCTGTGACCACCTGAGACACACACTCATGACACCACCACCCCCGCCACAGCTGCCTCCCCTTCCTTCCTCCTTCCCTCTGCTGCTCTTTCCCCATGCCCCAGAATTTAGCTGTTCTGATGGCCACTTACCTGAGACCAGCTGGCCTTGCAGTCACTTCAGAGATCAGGGAGTGGCTGCCCACTGGGCCTGACTGGGAGTCCCCTCAGTCCCTGATCAGGCATTGCGCCTGGAGGCAGTGAGGTCATGTTGTTCTCATCCCCACCTCTGCTTCTTGCCAGAATTGCCACCTGCAGGTTCTTTTTCTTTCATGGAGCCTGCTGGGTCTTGTCTTACCTCTGCTGAGCTCAACTGGATTCTGATTTCTTCCTTCCATATCAGGCCCTACGGGCTGAGTTATACCTGACAGGGAGACCCAGCAAGGGGCAGTCCCTGGTGGGGCCTGGCCTGTGTGGGACCTGTCTCTAGAGTATACGACATGGCCCGGCAGCCTCCAGCCAGCACCCTCCGAGTGCTCAGTTTCCCTGCAGGGCTGCTTCTCTGTCCCAGCTGCTGCCTGGTTCAGGCCCGGCAGACGCTGTGAGTGGAGGTGGCTGTACACAGCTCCTCCCGCCAGGGTGACCGTGTTTGCAGGGCACTTCCAGCAGAGCCTCCTCAGGCTCTCACCTCCAATCCCCCAGCTCACACAGCTCTAAGTGGTTTCCTCCCTTCATTCCCTTCTAGGGTGTGGCCCTCCATATTTATCTAAAGGGCCAATTTAGGAGAATTTTACCCCAGGGGCAAAAGGCCTTTAGGGGAGGTAATAGGATGGATCGGAGCCCAGGTACATTTTCCAGGCCCTGGGTTCTCCAGACCCTATGGCTTCTGTTGGGTAGAGGCGACTTTGCTCTGTGTAAATGACTGCAGACCTTGCCCCCACCCCGCAGCCAGGCACCCTTGGCAGCAAGCAGGAGTCCCATTCTCACCGACTTGCAGCTTGTCCTCTGGTCAGCTCCTCTTCGAGAAGGGAGTGGGTGGCTCCTGGGAAGCGCTCCGTCCCTCCCACTGGAGTGAAGGGGAGCAAGCAGGGTTATACAGAGCACCAGGGTAGGAGTTCATAAAAACAGTTCTTGGAAAGGGAAGGCAGGGCTCACGATTCCACTTGGCACCCCCTCCCAGAGCCCTTCCTCCCCTGGACTCCACCCCACAGCAGCCTTTGGCCCCTCACCTCCCTCCGCGCTGGTCCTCAGCCCAGGGCGAGCTGCAGTCAGGCGGGACGGGCAGGCCAGAGGTCAGCAAGCTCTGAGCAGAGAAGAGCCAGCCAGACCCCAATCCTGTCTCTTGTCCATGCCCTTTGTGATTTCAGTCTTGGTAGAACTTGTATTTGGAGTTTTGTGCTTCAAAGTTTTTGTTTTTGTTTGTTTGGTTTTTGTTTTGAGGGGGTGGGGGGGATACAGAGCAGCTGATCAATTTGTATTTATTTATTTTAACATTTTACTAAATAAAGCCAAATAAAGTCTCTCGGCCTCATGGTGTTGGGTTTGGGGCAGGGGAGGGTGGGCGAGAAACATTCCAGTTCCAGCCCCCACCCTACCCGACTTTCTGGGAGGAGGTTCTTGCCCTTGAGGGCCTGGGCCCTCCTGACTCCAGCCAGACTCGGAACCTTCCCTGGTCCATGAGGCCCTTATGCCTCAGAGAACCAGACCTTGATCCCCCAAACCAGGAGGAACATGAAAAGAATTTTTAAAAACTTTAATTATGAAAAAGGAGTGTATAATTGAAGATGGGGGAACCAGCCCCAAACCGGCTGGGGCAGAGGGAAACCAAGCCCAGCCTTAGATTAGCAGCAAGGGGAGGACCCCAGGCCCCACCCCACAGAGGCTCCACCTTAAATAATATAAATAGTGGCAAGGCGGCCAGGTTGCTCCAGCGTCTGCTGGAGTGCACGTGCGAGCCAAGGAAAGGGTGAGCCCATGCCTGGGAGGCTCAGGCCGGGCTTCCGGGCTGTTGCAGGGCAGTGAGGTATTTGAGGGCGGCAGCCCCATAGTGGCGAGACAAGTCCTGGTGGAACTCGTCCTTGAGGGCCTGTAGGCAGTCACGATAGGTGGGGCTGGAGCGGAAGCGGGAGATGTCAAGGCTTGGAGCATGGGGCAGGTGGATGGTGAAGGCCTCGGGCAGCACCAGGAGCTCATATTCCTGCAGGGTGGGGCAGAGGGACAGAGGTTGCTGGGTTGGGGGGGAGACGCAGCCCTGGGGATCAGGCTTACTCTGTAGCCCCTAAGAGCTGAAGCAAGGGCCAAAGGGCAGATGATTTTAGTTCTACAGAAGGGAAACTTCTAACAGTGCTGCCTAATGGTGTGGTCCACCATGCACAGGTGTGGTGAGTTCCCTGGCTAGAGGTGTTCAATCGAAGGTGGTGGGCGGCAGCAAGACACCCTCCTCACCTGTGCATCTAGCTCCACAATGTGGGCCACCTTGTTCCAGCCAAAGCCCACGAAGCGGGGGTCATAGCGGGGACAGTCGCGAGGCACCACCACATAGGGCTCATAGTCAGCTGCCCATTGCACACGGTATGGGGCCTCAGCCTCCCGCCAGCGGGTGTAGTCCGTGGGTGCATGGCCCCGGGGCCACTCGTGGTACCTGTGTGGCAGGATGGGATGGGGAGCCAGGCTGAGGCCGGGAGCTGGGGGCAGTGGGGGCCGGTGTGGGGAGCAGCACTGGGCGGAGCAGCCTGTCCTACCTGAAGGTGTGGAGAGCACCAGCATCCAGCAAGGCCAGCAGCTCCGCCTTGGAAGTGGGGAAGCTGAAGCGGTAGTGCAGGGTCTCGAATGCCGGCACCACCAGGGCCGCCTTGCGCCGGCCGCCCAGCCCCAGCTGCTCGATGGAAGCCCTGGGGAGCAGCACACGTGAGCAGGAGAGAGGAGCGGGGCCTTTGCCACCAGAGCCCAGCCAGTGCTGCCACAGGCAGTGACCATGGGACCTCATTCCCAAACCAGCCTTACTTGATGCCACCCTGATACCCTGATGGGCCATGAGACACAGTGGCGCCACTGTTGAAGCAGCCCTGGCCCCTCCTATGCTTTGTGGACATCTACCCAGTGTGACACAAACCCCATCGTACACAGAGCCAAAAGGAGCAGGACCATATTGGCTGTGGGTCCATATCCACCCCTCTAGCGTTCCTCTCCCTCCCTCCAGGCCCACCTGAGGGAGTCGTAGAGGGAGTAGGCAGGCAGAAAGTCAATGTCACTGAGGAAGACGTAAGGCGTGAGGGCCTGGGCCAAGGCTACGTTGCGGAGCTGGTTGATAGGGTAGAGGGGACCCTCGCGGTACACCACATGGTAGGCCACGTCCTGCCGGGCAGAGAGCACTGGGGAGGCCTCGACGAAACGCAGGAACTGCTGGGCCTCTGCGTCTGTCAGGTACAAGGCCAGGCTCATGGGGCCCGGCCAGTGCCTGCACAGGGCTTCTAGCATCTGCAGCCTGGGCAGGGGCAGGGGTGAGGTCAGCCCAGGCCATCCCTCTTGCACAGGAACCCAGGTAGGGCTGGAAAACCTCCCCAAAGCTGCTGGCACTAGCCCCAAGGGGTACTGAGCACCTTCCAAGCCAGTCTTATTTAATCTTCACAACTACTCCAGCGGTGGGTACTTTCTCATTTGACAGATGAGAAAACTGAGGGCCGGGGGTATTAAGACTTGCCCATGGCCCCACAGCTGCTAAGGGACAGTTCCAGGCATCAGAACAACTCCAAAGCCCAAGCTCTTTCCACCATATCCAATGTCTCCAACTTCTGGAACTCCTTGAGGGACAGGCAGGTCACTCACAGCACCAGGCTACCAGGTGAAACCTCCTCTCAGAAACGCCCGATCCTAGCCATGCCGTGCTCCCTGGGGATGCCCTCATCACCCTCACCGGTCCATGGAGAGCTGGGTCACCAGGGTGACATCGTGAGGCCGGTGGGGTGGCGGCTCATGGGGCAGAAAGGTGATGTGCACACGGTGCACGGTGAGCTGCTGCTGCCGGAACTCAAAGCAGGCGTCTTCCTCGTCCAGTTGTGCCAGGGCCCGCTGCAACGGACATGGGTCAGGGGAGAGAAGGACTGGCACTGGGGCAGGATGACATGTCCCCAGACAAGACTGGGTCCCGCCAGAGCAGAGAGGGGCAGGGCCTCCACAAGGTAAGGGAAGATGGCGCTCTCTCACCTGCTCAGCCCCAGGCAGGGGCTGGCCGGGGCACCCGAAGAGCTCTCTCCGCAGCAGGTTCCCGTCGTACTCCATGAAGGTCAGATAGAAGTTGCGGAAGAATTCCACATGCTTGTTCTTCACCCGAAGCTTCTTTGGTGAGTTCCAGTGGATCACCTGGGACCCAAAGGGTGTCCACGGGGGTATGGGAGCAGGAGTCCCCATCCTTGGCCCACTACTGTCCCACTCACCTTGAGGTCAGATGCCTCAGAGTAGCAGCGCTCCGCCAGCGTGTGGTCCGACAGCTGCACGTTCCAGATGCAGGGCAAGGGCTGCACCAGCCCCGGGTGCTCCTTGATCACAGCATTGAAGATGTCCTGGGCAGAGACAGCCATTGCACCTCAGGCCCCAGCCTGCCACCCGCCACCCCCCACCAGGGTTTCCCAGACCTGGTCGGCCAGTGAGGTGGCGGGCAGGGTGAGGAGCTCCCGGCTGGCTGTCAGCCTCCACATCTGCTCCCAGCCGGCTCGCCGCAGCCGGTCCAGCTGCAGCAGGATCACCCCTGCCAATGGGGAAAGGTTGACATGCCCACCTGGGACAACCAGCTCCTGGGGGCCAGGGATCATGAAGCTGCCTTTTGCATGTTTGTTTGACTTATTGGTATTTTCTGACTGTTCAGACATGATTATGGACTACTTGTGTCTACAGTCCATCTTCTTAGGGGTGAGGGGAGGCACTGTACACTGCCCAGCTTACAGAGCACCTCCAGAACCATCTCACACTCCACCGAGGCTGTTAAAATCATCCCCATTTAATGGATGAGAAAACTGAGGCTCAGAGGGACCATGCAAGTTGGCCCAAGTCATCCAGCCTTCACAAGCAATGTTGGAACTGTTTTCTGACTCTTCATCCAGTGTTACCTCCACAGCACTATTCTTCCTGGGGGGACTTCCTAGCACTCTGCCCTGCCCAGCCCCTGGGGCCCGAGGAACAGCAGCCCACCCTCCTGCCTCCCCCGACCACTATCCCCACCTGTGTTAAATCCCCGACCCAAGGCAGGCCAGGGCCTGTGGTTCTTCCAGAGGTTGCCCAGGTACCAGTCGCTCTGGTTCTCCACGAGCCCAATCACCTGCTTGTCTGGGAGGGAAGGGCATGAGGGAGCTGCCTGAGGCTGCCATGGGACCTGGGCTCAGGATTAGACACAGGGGGTCCTGGGTAGGCCAGGGGCCCAAGCCTCTCACCAGAAAAGTGAGCAAAGAGTGCCCAGAGCTCCGCGATGTCAGAGGCAAAGGTGACATCAGTGTCCAGGACAATGACTCGGGCCAGGTCAGGGGGCAGGGCACCAGGGAGCACCAGCTTCATTAGCCCGTAGAGGCCAGAGTAGTGCTTGTTGGGGATCCAGGAGACCTGGGGCTGTTGGGGGAGGGGCAGGGCATGAGCTGGCAGAGAAGGGCCTACACATGCCAGAACACACTCAGAGGGACACAGTGGGGAGAAGGGGTGAACTCCAGAAAGAACAAGGGGTTTGAGCTGCAGTGGATTTGAAGGGACTGGGGATTCTCCTCCCCCTCGCCCCAGCGTGAGGGAGGAAGGAGAGGGATGGGCACAACTGGCAGGAGTGCAGAGAGGCCGGGCTCCTGCCTTGAGCTCCTCAGCGTCATAAAAGCTGACACGGACAGCGGGCACCATCCACGTGTGGAAGAGCGTCTCCAGGATGTTTCTGGCCACGGCATCAGTCACCAAGTGCAAGTGCAGCGGATTTTTCCTTTTGGGGAGACAGGAAGCCTGAGAGGCCCCAGCAGGAGGAACACGGGACAGCCGCCACCCAGGGGGCTGAGAGGTGGAACCACCATCTGCTAAGTGCTTTTCCACACCAGCTCAGGAGATTCTTACAACCACTCTTCAGGAGAGGAAGGGGACACTGTCCTTATGTCACAGACAAGGAAGCTGGAGCCGAGACCCAGTGACTTGCCCAAGACTTTGTCCCTTCCCCACTCTGACCCACCTCCTCTGACACCTGCTGTACCTGTAGAAGAGCATGGACTTCACCAATGTGATGACCTCTCGGCTGGAATTATGTCCCGCACACACGATGGCCACATGCAAGAGCTGGGGAAGGGACACCCAGGTTGGCAGCAGTCTCCCCCTCACCCACTAGACAGCTGAGCTGGCCTGGCCTGGCCTGGGCGGTGTGGCCCGCCCGGAAGCAGAGCCAGGGAGGAGTTCGGGGAGCGGCAGCAGGATCCAACTCTCCATTTCACACACGGGGAAACTGAGGCCAAGAGCAGAGTAGGTGTGCACCCAGGGCGCCCCCAGCTGGCTGGCCAGTGCCAGGGCAGACCCCAGGTGTGGTGATTCCCACAGGTGTCCAGGTGGCCGGGCTGGGGGCGCGGCGCTCCGGGATTCCCACCACCAGGGCCGGCGCACCTACCTCGCACTTGGGTGGCAGCTGCGGGCCGCAGTCGGAGCGGTTGTGGCCGCCCTGTCCCCCCAGCGGGTCTCCGTCGAGGGCAGCGGCTCCCCGCAGCCGCCCGTCTGAGGGGATACGTGGCGTGAGCGGGCAGGGGAGGCACCCGGGACCCCCGGGCTCACCCACCCGCTCGCGGCCCTCACACCCCGGGTCCCCACCAAACAGGAAGAATCCGAGCAGCAGCAGCAGCAGCAGCAGGAGCAGCGCGGCGCCCAGCGCCCGGGGGCGCCTTCGGGGCAGCATGGCCGCGGGCCGGGGCGCTCAGGGCGGCGCGCGACCCCCCGCTGCCGGCTCCATCGCGGGCCCTGTGGGCAGAGGAGGAAGAGAGGAGGAGGCTCAGCCCCAGGCGGCGGGACCGACGGCCGCCCGCTCATCCCTCCCACGCTGCGTTGCCACCCTCACCTGCTCCAGCTGCTCCCGGGCCCGGGCCCTGCGCTCCCAGCAGCCGGCCCGGGAGCGGGACCCGGGAGGCGCGGGCCGGCCCCGCCCCCAACCTGGGTTCAGGTTTCACCTCCGCTCTGCTGAGCTCGAAGGGGCGGGGAGACCCTCGGGGAAGGAGCTGGCACCACCCACTGCCCCAGCCTCTGACGGCCCCCCAGCCTGCGAGGAGTCCCGGGGACCCCCTTTCTGGGCTGAGTTTCCCACCAAGACACGAGGAAGGTTGGAGGGCGCGGGAGCAGCGACCCAGGAAAACCCAGTCCTGGCTACCTGGCCTTACCCCATCCCCCTGCTCCCTGCTTTGGGGCCCCGTCTCCGCCCCCTAACGTCCCCGGGGGATGGGCCAGTGACCCCGGACCCGGGATCAAAGGGACAGCCGGAGCACAACCGGAGTGAGGGGGAGGCGACCGGAATGCTGGGCCGCGGGGATCGGGACACCTGCTCTGGGGACGGGAGGCGGGGCTGGCTGAGACCTGCCTGCGAGCCAGCGAACACCTGGAGCCCTCGCCTTCCTCCCCCTACTCGCAGTCCAGGTGGCCCGGCCCTGCCCGGCGGCAGCCCCGGCGCAGCCGGGACAAAGCACCCTTGTGAAGGCCGCTTCCCTCCCGGTAGCTGGCGAGGGGCCTATGCCGCAGGCGGCTAGGGCCACATGGGCAGGGCCAGGATCCCCCATCCCGTCTAGACGGTCGTGAGTGTGCCAGGCCTGGCCTGGAGCTCCCCCTCCCTCCTCCTATGCGGCGCGCCCCATAGCAGGCGCCAGCCTGGCCTCTGGCCCGGGAGCCGGTAGTGGGCACTTTGAACCGAGCGCACGATAAGCGTGCCAGGCCCTGTGCTACGGGTTTGGCACCCTCGCCTCAGTTCATCCTCACAGCAATCCTGTGCTGCGGCTTTATCTCCCCCAGAGAGTCGACGTGACCTGTTAGACAAGAATGCCCTCTGCCCACGCCCCCCAGGCCCACGCCCCTTCCCAGTCCATGGCCCTGGCCCTGGCCCTGGCCCTGGCCCTGGCCCTGGCCCTTCCTTGCTCTCTGTCCTGAAGGGGCCCCCGCGCCGCCCCAGGACTTGCCCTTGATGTTCCTCCTGCCCCGAACGAATGCAGCTTCTCAGAGGGCTGGCTGGCACCCATGGAAAGTTGGAGTCGTGTGCTTGTTTACTGAGTCTCTCCCTCCTAGACTGGATGCTGCTCATGGGACGGGGACCTTGTCTGTCTTGGCCTGGGCTGGGAACAGCCTTGCACGTACCAGCTGCTCAGTGTGTGTTGGAAGTGGGTGGGAATGAGAACCCATCCTCCCCTGTCCTGGAAAGGGGCTGGGGCTATGTCCTTTAGCTCAACTTCCAGCCACAAAAAGTGAGATGAACCTAAAAAAGCTGTGGGAAAGCTCTGAGACCCCCAAGTCTCCTCTTCAGGCCTTTCTGTGGGGCGGAGAGAAGGTCAGCTTTTGGGGCTTTGGAGGCCAGGGCTAACGGTTGCTATGGAGACTGATGGCAGCGCCTTGTATGTCTGTGAATTGAGAGGAGATGGGCGATGCCGACTGGGACTTGGAGCCTCCAGACTCCCTGATCCTCAGCTCTAGCCTGTGGCTGGCTGGCGTGGGGGTGGGCGATTCCCACCCCAATGCCTTCAACAGAGAGGGCTTGCTGGGTTACTGTGAGGGAGCCTGGCCCAGAGTAAGTCTTCAGTGAGGGGGTGGGGCGCTAGCTGCAGGCTGGGGCTGCAAGTCTCACTGGGTCACTCTTTACACTGGCTTCTCCTCTCCAGCCTCACCACTCAGGGAAACCTAAAGCGCTGAGATGCCCGCGGGGCCTGCAGCGAGTGTTCTGGGGGCATGGAGGCCAAAGGGAGACAGGTATGGGCATTTAACCAGATGCTGTTCCTCTAGGCCAGTTTGACATAGCTCTGCCCAGGACCTTGTTGTGTGACGGTGGACCAGTCAGGCCCCCTCTGTGGGCCTCTGGTGTCCTCATTGGCACCTACTAGACTCTCTCTCTTCCCATGCAACTTGGGGCAGCCTGAAGGAGGGAGGATCCAGCCCAGCCTGCCCAGAGGCCCTTCCAGCCCAGCCAGGTGGCCCAATGCAGGCAGGGGCCCAAGGAGCAAGGAGGGGCTCCCCTCAAGAGCTTCCTATACACGTGGCTATTCTTTGTCTCTGGGGCCTAATCAGGCCCAGGATCTAGAGAGGAAATTCAGGCAGCCCTGTTGCTGCCAACCTGGCTCCCCTGCCCAGTCCTAGAGGGAGGGAGGAGAAACTGGCTCCAGCCCCAGCCCTCTCATATTCTGTCCTGAGGAGGCTGCCCCTCTGTCCTCCATGCCTCTCTCCTCCCTAGAATCACAGGACCACCAGCCCTGGGAGTGCTGAGGAAACCCACATTCCCCCTCCTCCCTCTCTTTACTTCAGCCAGTGGGAGGACTGAGAGGAGTGGCCAGCAGTGAGATCTGGGAAATAAGTTCATTAAGATGGTGGGCTGGAGGCCAGGCATGGCGGCTCGCCCTGTAATCCTAGCACTTTTGGAGGCTAAGGTGTGGATTGTTTGAGTTCAGGAGTTCAAGACCAGCCTTGGCAACATAGGGAGACCCCATCTCTACAAGAAAACGAAAAATTAGCCGAGCATGTTGGCATGTGCCAGTAGTCCCAGCTTCTTGGGAGGCTGAGGCAGGAGGATCACTTGAGCCCAGGAGTTTGAGGTTGCAGTGAGCTATGATGATATGACTCCACTGCACTCTAGCCTGGGCAACAGAGGGAGACCCTGTCTCAAAAAGAAAAAGGTGGTGGTGCAGATCCTTTTGTAGTTCATAAGCTCAGTGGCTGGATTTTCACATTCATGTGTAAGATGTGCCTCCCTCAAACCTTCTTACTATTGATGGTGGAACGGAGTGAGGAAGGGAGAAAAAGCCCCACCTTGGATGCCCTGAGTCCAGGTCCTAATGCCAGTTGCTAACTTGCCTCATGACCAAGAAGCCTCAACATGTTACTACTCTTGCTGGGCTGTGGGCAAGAGAGAGGTCACTGCCACAAGAGACCTGCCCTGTGGCCTGTTTGGCCAGGGCCTTGCTGTGCCACCTGGGACAAGTTCTTTCCTGTCCTTGGCCTGCTAATTTCCCATCTGTGAACATGAGTTCATGGCAACCTGGCAAGGTTGCTAGGAGGAGGGTGAGTGAGCCTGGTCCCCAGAGGTGGCAAGAAATGATGTTGACTATGCCCATAGCCACCTCCTCTGTTCTCCAAGTCTCTGCCCTTCCTGAGGACCCTGGACACCTGTCCCTGGGTCTTCATTCCCTGGCGTGAGTAGGGAGTGGAAGGGAGGGTTGTGGCTTCCTGGTGAGGTGGGAGGCTTAAAGACGCCTAGACTCTTAGGTCAGACTAGACCAGGATTCGCATTTTGACTGGGCGTTCTAAAGCGCATCCTTTCCTCATCTGGAGGTAGTATCTTGTGGCGCGGGTCAGGTAAAAGAACGTGCGTCTATTCTCAGGGTCCCCAAAGGCGCGTGCCACGCCCCCTTCCCCGCAGCCAATCCGCGGCCGTCTCCCCGGAGCGCCACCTCTGGCCGCTGCTCTCCTGCTGCCACCCCTGCCAGGCAGACTTCGTTTTGGGAAGGGATCCCCAGGAATCGCCCCATTCTCTGGGGCGCAGCTGAGGACTGGGACGTGCATCCGAGGGCCGGAAAGCGCTCTGAGATTAATTCCGAATTCAAGGATTAAGTCTGCCCTCAAACCATTTTATAGATGGGGAAGTCCGAGGCCCAGGGAAGGGAAACTCCCGCGCAGGTGCCCTGAACGGAGAGAAGCCTGGGCCAGCGTTTTCTCCGAGTAGGTGGGAGTGCAGGTGCACGCTCCTGGGGGGCACAGTCCTTGTGAGAGCTGGAGCCAAAGCCGGAGCACTAACTGTGCTGGCTAGGGGATCGACACTGCGCTGGGAGGTTGAGCTCCTCACTGCCTCAGTTTCCCCAGCACTACCTTTGGTGGGGAACGGGAGACGGGGCACTGGGCAAACGCGCGCCTGCTGAGAGGCAGTCCGAATGCCTTTAGGTGCTTAGGTGCTCCAAGTCTGATAGAAGCTCCTTTTTTCAAAGGACGCTCTACCTTCTAGCCCTCTAAAAGCCTGTCCTCCCGTTCGAGCCTCTCGGCGTTCTATTGGAAAGACTCGGTCTTCCTGCTCCCTTCTCTAGAATGAACTGCTCAGACTGCCGCCAAGCTTTCCGGGAGCATTAACTGCGCAGGCGCAAGCACAGTCAACCCGGAAAACGCAAGAACTGGGTCCCGACGACGTTGGGCGGGTCGGGGGCGGAGAGTGTGTTAACCAATGACTTGAAGGAGTACGGGGGGGAGGGGGTTTACGCCCGCAGTTGCTAAGTGCTACCCAAGTGGGAGGTGATTTAAGAGATGGGGTGAAGGGTGGTTCAATGGCTCTTAAAGTCACCATCCTTTTGGTCTGCGGAAGTTAAGTAACCGAGAGGCGGGCCTAGGACCGGAAGCAGGAAGGAGGGCACAGGAAGCAAGGCGCCGCAGCCAGTCGTACTGTCGGTCTGTGGGTCTGCCTGTGCTGAGGGCAGGATGGAGAAGCTGCGGCTCCTGGGCCTCCGCTACCAGGAGTACGTGACTCGTCACCCGGCCGCCACGGCCCAGCTGGAGACAGCAGTGCGGGGCCTCAGTTACCTGCTGGCAGGTGCCACCCTGACCTTATGATCGGCACCTTAAGGGGCCTGACCTATGACCCCAGTGGGCCCCCTTCCCTGCGGAATCAGGGTAGTGATCGCTGTGCTTGAGAAGTCCCGTCCAGGTTCCCGTAGGGAGTAGGGAGGAGACGTCGGGGACCCGGAGATGAAGGGTTAGGCAAACGCTCACCGACACCTTCTGTACCTTCTCTCCAGGTCGATTCGCGGATTCCCACGAGCTGTCAGAGCTGGGTGAGCTGGGCTCTGGGGTGGGTGTCTGTTGTCGCCTGTCTGGGCCTCCATGTCCCCAAGTTAAGAGACATGTCTGGGGATCTTGACTGAGTGTTCACCACTGGTCAGGCGCAGAGCCAAGCGCCTTTCCTGCCTTTGCCAATTAATCTTCCCTACATTCAAATGAGGTGGGTACTGTTATCGTCCTTGCTGTCCAGTTAAGAAACAGAAATACAGTGAGGTTAGGGAACAGTTGCTGATAATCCCAGAACTAAGATTCAAATCCCAATCTCCCAGATTCCAGGATTTCCAGGCTGTAACTGTCCTCAGGAGCATTGCCCACTGAGTACTGGAGGTGACAGTCCTGAAAAGATGAGCTGGTTGGAAAGGTAGAGATGGAGTAGACTCCCAGGGACAGGCTGCAGAATGGGCAAAGGCCAGGAAGTGGGACCACACAATCTGTAGCTGTTTGAGTGCATGGGTAGTTATAGGCAGCTGATGGTCAGTGCTATCCTGTAGGGCAGTAGCTGGTTTGTCACTGAGCTCAACCCATCCTATCTTGGTCCAACCGCTCATGCAAGATCAAATTGGGGAGTGTGGAAGCAAGGAAGTGGGCAGAGAGGCAGATTGGTTCCACATAATCTGTGGTGTCTGAGCACGGGCAAGTGACAGGTGATCCTCGGCAGCTCTGGGGAAAAGGTGAGAGGGGTGGAGCTGCAGAGCGCAGCCTCTCAAGGCCACCCTCTACCCTCAGTGTACTCCGCCTCTAACCTGCTCGTCCTGCTCAATGACGGGATCCTACGGAAGGAGCTTCGAAAAAGTTGCCCGTGGTGAGAATTTCCAGGAACTGAGGGCGGGAAGCACAGGGACTCAGAAATAAAATAGCAACAACCAGCCCATGTGTGCAGCACATGTTGGTCTCATAGAGTGTGAGGCATGCCTTTGCCCATCTGAGCGCTCAACCGTCTCATTAGACGAGGTGTAAAAGTGTTAGCGACCTTCCCCAGTTGAAGAAACTGAGCTTCAGAGAGGTGGAGTCAACTATCCCAGGTTATCCAGCCTGTTGGTGGTGGAGTCGGTGTTTGAACTCAGGCCTGCACACTTAGGCTTGGAAAGTGGAGAATCCATATCTCTGTTAGAGGACTCCCATCCCCTGCCCATAAGGAAGGGCCAGGGCCTAGGGGAGCCTCCTGACCTCTTGGCTTGGGGTTCTTGCAGTCGCTGTCCCAGCAGAAGCTGCTGACATGGCTGAGCGTGCTGGAGTGTGTGGAGGTGTTCATGGAGATGGGGGCCGCCAAGGTGTGGGGAGAAGTGGGCCGCTGGCTTGTCATCGCCCTTATCCAGCTGGCCAAGTACGTTGGGACTGTGGAGGGCAGGACCAGGGTGGGTGACACAAGCCAGCTTTACAGATACTGCCAAGCATGGCACCTGCCAGCTAGCCATCTCCCCCTAACCCAGCCATATTCCCCCACTCAGGGCTGTACTGCGGATGTTCCTGCTGATCTGGTTCAAGGCTGGCCTCCAGACCTCACCCCCCATCGTTCCACTGGACAGAGAGACCCAGACACAGCCCTCGGGTGAGCTGCTTCCCCACTCTGGAGTAGAATGGGGCATAGGACTAATTAGTGGCTTTAGACTCCACCAGTATGAACACAGTGACGTCTATAAACTACGGCCCGCAGGCCACATGTGGGTGTTTTTGCCTGTTTGTTTTTTTACTTCAAAGTAAGATATGTGGAATGTGCATAGGAATTTGTTCATAGTTTTTTTTATAGTCTGGCCCTCCAACGGTCTGATGGACAGTGAACTGGCCCACTTTTTGAAAAGTTTGAGAACCCCTGGTTTATGGAGTACATCTATCCCTGTCAACTGATTTTATTCTCATCACCATGTATCCTGCAGAAAAGAAAAAAAAAGATTAAGTTGGGGACAAAATCAGAACTTGAACTCAGGACTTTTGATGCCAGAGTCCTCATTCATTTTTTTGGTCTGCAGGAAGAGCGAACAGAGCAGGAGATGGGGGCTGCCAACCTAGTCTCTGGGCCTGCTTCTGTAGCAAGACCTGCAGCCTCGAGGCAGAGCGCCCAGCACTTGTCACCCCCTGGGCCACACACTCCTGACCTTAGTGGGGACAGTTCTTTGTGTTTCATCATGGTCATGTTGAAAGCAAAGGATTAAGAAGATATGACCTACCGGTGCTCCAGTCCCTGGGAAGTGGAGGTTCTTGGCTGGCTCTGGCCATAGATGCTGCTGACCTTTCCCCAGGCAAGGGAGGGATGTAGAACGCTTATGTCCCACGTTGAGCCACAGCCATTGGCTGTAGTTTCCTTGACTCAGCTGCAGCCTCAGTACAAGCTCAGCTGTTCTCCCTTATCCCTGAGCATTCACCACACACGTGTTCTTTGCAGACTCTACTAGAAACATGTCCTCTGACAGTAGGGCCTTCTGTCTATCCCTGCTAGATGGTGACCACAGCCCTGATAGCCAGGAGCAGTCATATGTGGGCAAGCGGTCAAACCGAGTGGTGCGCACCCTCCAGAACAGTAAGTGGAAGATGTGGCCAGACTGGGCACGAAGGTGCTGGGGTCCGCCTGGGCCTGAGGGATTGGCTTCCATCAGTGTCCACCTTCCTCCTGCTCCAGCCTGGGCCTGGCTCGCTCATTGGCTGCCCTTGCGTTCTAGCTCCGTCCCTGCACTCAAGGCACTGGGGAGCTCCCCAGCAACGGGAGGGACAGCAGCAGCAGCAGCGCCAAGAGGAGCTGAGCCGCGCCCCCACCCCGCTGGGGCTGCAGGAGACCATCGCAGAGTCCTTGTATATCGCGCGGCCGCTGCTGCACTGTATCCTTAGCGTGGGGCGGGCCAGCACCTTGAGTGGGGGATGGATTCAAGCATGGGCTGAGCCGGGCCCCTGTGCCAGAGACATCCTTGACGCCTTGGCCGTCAGTGCTCAGCCTGGGCCTGTGGGGTCAGCGGTCGTGGAAACCCTGGCTCCTGTCTGGTGTTGTGGACGTGACAAGGTGAGCCTGGGTGTGCCCGTGGGCCCTCCTCTGCACTGGGCTTTCCATGACAGGGCTGGCTTCACCTAGGTGGGGCGGGCAGCAGCCCCTGCTCCTCCCAGTGCTGTCCCTGTGGACACCCAGCCCAGATCAAGCCCCTGGCCCTTACTGTGTCCCCTGTCCCCCAGTCTGAGCCTCCTGAGTGACAGAAAGGGCCTGACCCGGAGGGAGCGGCTGGAGCTGCGGCGCCGGACCATCCTGCTCCTCTACTACCTGCTGCGCTCCCCGTTCTACGACCGCTTCTCTGAGTAAGGACTGGTCCCTACCTGTATCACGGAGAGGGCAGAGAAGCAGGCCCTGGGCTCCAACCACTGTTGGTGCCTTCCCTTCTCCCCTGTTCCTCCATCTGGGGTTCACTGAGCACCCACTATGTGTATCTTGGTGGCAGTCACCATATGCCAGCCCAGCCCTTCCTGCAGAGCTTTTGGGGCCATCAGCCCACGTATTCATGAGCTTCAACACCTGTTGGCAGGGCTGAGGGGCAGGGCTGAGGACGTTGCCAGGAGGCCCGCAGGGATGGAGCAGGTGCGGGCTGTCCATAGCTTCTGGCTCATTCCCACACCTTCCTGCCAAGCGGTTGGGATTATCCTCACTGCTCAGAGGAGACACTTGAGGTTCAAGGATGTTGTGCAACTTAAAGATGCCCAGCCAGTAGAGTTAAATCCCAAATCCATGTTCTCTCTTGGCTGTCCCTGCTTTGACCTGTGCGGGCCCAGAGCCCCCAGCCTCAGCCACAGAGAAGCCTGCTGGGGGTGCATGGGGTGGCCCCGGGCCAAGCCCCCCAGGGCCTCCGGGGTGACTGCATGAGGTCAGACAGAGATGTGAGGAGGAGCCCCTGTGTAGCGCTAGGCTGGGAGACAGACAAGGCTCCCAGCACCCCCTTTGTCTGGGACTTAATGAACCCTTGCTTAAGAACTGGAATAGTAACTGGAGTTGCATGTAACATCCAGCCTCTGTTTTTTCTGAGAGAATAGGGAGTAGCCTTATGTCATATTATCTTGGTGAAAGTGACTTAGCCTGGCAGTTCCTGCTGTTTTCAGACAAGTTTGAAAGCTCGTAGGGCCTAAAGCCAAACCTATAACATACAGGAGAGACAACATTCCAGAGACAAGTTTCATAAGGAAACCCCCCTCCATTGCTTACACTTCACAGGGGAAGCCTTGCAGTACCAATGTCCCCCTCATATGAACTGAGGAATTGTGAGGTGACGGGAATCTCACACCCTCTGCTCCCTGCCCTGCCAACCTGCCCCGCTGGTGTCTGAGAGCTGAGAAATCCACCAGGGAGAGTCTCGTTTGCCCGAAGGGCAGGAATAGGCCTGAAAGGAACAGTTGTCCTCCTCTGTCCCACTGTTCTCACTGCTCAGATGGGCGTATGGTCCCGGGAGCACACTGCCTTCCACATGTGTGACCTCGGGCAGTTATTTGACTCTCTGTGCCTCATTTCCTTATCTGTAAAGTGGGGATGATGAGAGAAGCCACCTCATAGGGCTGTTTAGGGGTCACATGACTTAAAACACATGGTAGTGAGCGCTTAATAAGTGTCATGTCTTATTTCTCCTAGTATCAACATCACCATCATCTCACCCGAGTTCCCCTGTGGGAAACGCTCATCTCTTAAAAAACTAGGCCTTGGTCCTGTCCCCTTACACTGAACCAGCTCGCCCTCTTCAGCACTGTGCCCCCTTCTGGGCCCTGACTCCTTGCTCCAGTGACACGTGACACAGCTCTTTTGCTGGACTGGGGGCTTCTCAGCAGGGTGGGGTTGTCTTCCCCTTTGAACCCTCCTCCATGCCACCTGGCAGTGCTGCATGTGTGGCCCTCTGGAGGGAAGGAAATGAGGGGCAAGGGGGAGTGGGAGGAGGCTGGCTGTGAGGTGCTGTGAGTAAGTGGCCCACCTGGGGCCGAGCTTCCGGCATCCCAGAGCTGGCGGGGAGGGCAGAGCCTGGAGTCCACCCCAGAGGTCTCGCCCTTGTAGACTGGGCCCTATCCTAGCTCCAGAAAGTTGCCGCTTGTCTTTTGGGATGCACTGTGTTTAGTTGGGTGGTGGGGGAAGGCTCCCCACCCTCCTCCTTTGCAAGGACCCCCCTCGCCAATTCAGCCTTGTCTGTGTTTATTGCTTCCACTCAGGGCCAGGATCCTCTTCCTGCTGCAGCTGCTGGCTGACCATGTCCCGGGCATCGGCCTGGTCGCAAGTAAGCAGGGGCGATGATTGATCATAGAGTGTGGTCGCATGCGGGGCTCATCTCCCTGTTGTCTGTCTCCTTGTCATTTGATTCTTGGCACAGCAGGGAGAGGAAGCCCAGAAGTCAGGGTTGGGCCATAGAGCCAGGGGTGGCTGGAAGAAGGACGTCTTGTGGAGGAGGAAGTATTACTAGACCATGTGGGGACATCAGCCTTTTTCCTGTCGCAGTATCCTGGAGTGATGCAATGTGGGACTGTCTCACCTGAAGGGGGTTGTATGGCAGGGCAAGGGCCACCTCAGCAGAGCCACTGGGGTCCTTGTCTGTAAACAGGGCCCCTGCAGTGCTGCCTCTCCAGGGGGCTGGGGGGGGGAGCAGCAGAGCTCACTGCTGTGCAGGGGTAGGAGCTGCATTGGAGCAGGGCAGAGTGGAGTCTGGCCCCCACCTCACTCATTCCTCTCTCGTTGCAGGGCCGCTCATGGATTACTTGCCCACCTGGCAGAAAATTTATTTCTACAGTTGGGGCTGACAGACATCCCGGGAGCGGGGCGTGGGGCAGGGCCGCGTGCTCTGCTGTGCTGGGCAGGGGGTGCCTCAGCCGGTCAGTCCCCTGAGCCCCTCTTCCCTAATAAAACTGACTCTGGTAGTGTCCCAGCATGCGGCCTCTCCGTCCCCACCGCCCAGGGCGCCTGCCAGCTCCCCACAGCCCCACCCTGGGCTCTGCACACAGCCAGGGAGGCACTGCATTTAGTCAGTGGTCGCAAAGGCTTTCCAGCCTCCTCATTTGCAGGGACCCTGCCTCCCAACTCACAACCCCATGCCCTCCTAATACCCTCTGGACTTGTACTGCACTCTCCTGCGGTGGAGCCATCAGCTCCTGGGTGCTGGCCCAAGAGGGTGCCACTAGGACTGGGATCCAGGCTGCTCTGGCCAGAGGAAGCTGCGACTTAACTCATGGCGCATGGGGAGCTGCTGGCCCTGCAGCCACAGGAGCAAGCGCTGCTACTGGCTCGCCGGCCCAGTGAAAACAGACGAGGCTGGAGGCTCCTGGCGTGTCTTCTGGCCAACGTCCCTGTCTGTCCCTCCCCTGCAGGGCCCTGTGGCTCCAGCAGCCCCAGGCCATGGCACTGCCAGCCCCTTGTGACAGAGCCCAGTGAAGGGTGAGCCCTGCGGTGGTATAGAGCAGCACCTCTAGCCCTGAGTCGGGGGTGAAAGGCATTTCTCCCATAGGAAGAGGGTGTTGGGCAGCAGCCAGCGCTGGGCCGGTGCTGGTGCGGGATGGGAGCTGGCGAGGCTCTAGGAGAAAGCACAGGTTCGAGTTCAGGGGACACAGGCTGGGGTCTCCCCACACTCACTGTCGGGCTCTGGGGTGCCAAGTCTGCCTGGAGCCATGTGGACTGCTGTGGGGGCCAGGAGCAGGCGGGCCTTGGGCTGGGCTTTCCCGCCGTCCTCAGCCACAGCCCTGCTCCCCATGCGTGCGCCAGAGCCAGCCCCTGCTGCAGTTCCCACCCAGACAGGCGGCCCCTTGGGCTCCCAGAGGGCTCTGTCTGCTCCTGGGTCCTCCATGCCGCGCCCCTCCCAGACACCCTGGGAGGAGCCACCTCACGCTGACACCGCTTCCCCCAAAGTGCCTCTGAGGAGTGCCACCCAGGTCCTGACCCACCAGGTCCATCAGGGTCAGAGCTCTGGCTCCAGTGACCTTTGTCATCATTTAACAAGCGCTTCGGGCACTTTGCCCCACAGTGGGCTCTGCGCCACGGGCTGTGCAGGCAGCAAGGTGTGTGCGACACGTGGTTCCCTGGCCTCGCGCTCTGCCAACCAAGGGGGAGCCTGGGGGTGTGTCAACACAGGTGCTGCACGGCGTTGCGGCAATAATGTCTGCAGGATGCAGTCTGGCTTGGAGATGGCCTAGCAGTGGTGACTCTACCTGGAGTGGCCATGAGCGATGAGGAGACTCCTTGGGCTTTATCAGTGACGCCATCATTCACACAGGCTCTGAAACTGTCAGCACTGCGTGTCGGTCGGTCAGCGGCAGCCTGGGAGAGGAGGCTGTGTGCAGAAACAGCTCGTGTGCTGTCACAGCAGTGCCACGGTGGTGTGCAGTGACGGGAGGTGCTAGGGCAGAGTGGAGCAGGGGCAGGAGCAGGTGTCAGGAAACTGGAGAGGAAGGTCAGGGCCCAGTCGAGTGGGCTGCTGTGGGAGGCAGGGGCGCGGGGGGCAGGGGCCTTGTGGAATGGACCGGTGGGCAGGGATGGGAGGATGGGGCCCTGGACTGAAGGCACCACGGTGGGAGGTGCTGGACTAAGGCAATGGCGGGGGCTGGGACATGAGGTGTAACCCAGGCACGCCTGGGGGACTGTTGAAGACAGGAAGAGGGTGGCGTCAGGGGACAAGGAGCAGGAGGGGTGTGAGGCGCTCATGGAGTTAGCCAGAGTGGACAGAATTCCTGGTTCCATGCTGGGGACACAGCATGCTGAGGCAGGTTTCTGGGAGAATAGTTGTCCCAAAGACATACATAGGGTGGTGGCCGCTGGGAGGTTAGCCTGTGGGCTTGGGCATAGGGTAGTGGACCTGGCTGAAGGAACCCAGGAACTTGTCGGCTTCAGGGATGCTCAGGGCCAGGAGCATGAATGAGGCCACTCGAGGACCCAGGGTTGGAAACAAAGGACGTCCCTCTCTGGACCCTCTCAGCACTAGAGAGTGGCTAACCCACCCAGCAGGGCTGCCGTCTCTGACTCAACTGGATTACCAAAGCCACAGACCCCCACGGACCTCGTTCCCGAAGCTTGCTGTGGTTCTGAAGTGAGGGGCTGCGCTGTGTTCACAAGTGGCAGGGCCTGGCTGCCAAGTCAGAGGACCAGGAGCCAGGGAGCCCGCCAGTGGTGGCCACAGCCTTGCCTCTGGCCTCAAAGGGACAGCCTCCAGTGTACCATCATGTGTCATCTGCTCACTGAGGAACTCCTGGGCACCCAGTGCTGAGGACTGCGCAGTGGACAAAAGTGTCCCTGTCCTCCTGAAGCTTATCCTCTAGGAGGCAGGTCCAGAGCTTTGCCACCTCTCTTGGACACCCTCTGTCTGGCTCCAGTGCCGGCAGTGGGCAATGCAGCCCTCGCCAGGCTGTTCTGAGCCGCAGGGAGCACAGTGGGAATGGCCTCAGCGAGACGTGAGGAGACAGAGGCTCCCTCTCCTGGTGGACCCTGAGCTGACCTGAGCTGGTCAAGCCTAAGTGACCCACCCTAGGATTTTCAACTGGCAGGACCCTCCCGGGACTACTGAGAAGCCAGCGGTGGGGCTGGGGCTGGGGGTGTGGACAGAAGGGGGTGCTGGCTGGGAACGGCTGGGGCTCTGGGCAGTGAGGATGTGGAGGGCCTACTGTGTGCGGACCTTTAGTGCACTATGCACATCACAGATAAGAGACTGAGACACACAGAGGTGACATGACCTGTCCGGCTAGCAAGAGGCAAGGTCAGGACTTGAACTGAGATCTGACTCCAAGGTCAGTGCCCTTAACTCTCGGGCAGTGACACTAGAACAAGATCTGGTTTGGAAACTCTTGACCTACAGCACCAGTAGAATAAACCAAACCCAAACCCCAGCGTGGTTTCTGGCCCTGCCCCAGCGCGGGTGCTGACGCCGAGCCTTGGAACCAGAGCCCTTTGTGAGGCGGCGGGAGCTGGCGGCAGGTTCCGTCCTGCCAGGGCTGGGCCAGGCCGTGTAGGCAATGGTTCTCGCCATGCTGGGGGCTCTGTACCCCAGGGCTGGACTCAGCCTCTTCCTCCTCTACCTCATCCTGGCAGCTGCACTCCTCCGCCCCCAGCCCCTGAGGTAACTCCCCAGCGCAGAGGGTCAGGGCACGGCCCCTCCGCGGAGAGGCTGGCCCTTCGTGGGCTGGTTCCCCATTCACAAGGAGGTGGCAGTGGCCTTCGGGGACAGGGCTGAGCACCCCCAGTGTCTCCCACAGGTCTCAGCGATCTGTTCCTGAGGAATTCTCAGCCTCCCTGGAACTCCCACAGCCACTCTCCGGACTGGTGGACGGTAGTACCTCACCCCTGCCCTCCCCTCGCCCCCCTGCTGCCCGGCCTCTTCTCCTCCCAAACAGCATCTGTTTCAGGGTGGCCCTGGTCCAGTTCAAAACCAGCTTCTCCCACTCATACCCTCTTTTCTCTCTTTAGACTATGGGGTCCGGCCCAAGCACCCGTGGCCACGAGGGCCCCGGCCCCTCCTCTCCCGGGCCCAGCAGCGCAAGCGCGATGGGCCAGACATGGCTGAGTATTACTACGACGCACACCTGTGATGCGAACCCCCCATAAAACTGTTCTGTGCAGCAAGGGCTTGGCTTTCCTGGGGCAGAAGCTACATGGGCATGGGAAGGGGTCCGTGTAGATACATCCACCGCAGTCCAGACAGGAAATGGCACTTTAATAGTTGGGGCCAGGGTGACAGGACCAAGATGGGGCTGGCCCGGGCCAGTCAGGAAGTCCCCTTTCCCTGCCGGGATGGGGCCCTGCTACGGCTTCTTCCCTGCTGAGGTCCGGAGCCTGCCACAGGCCAGCATACCATGAGGTTGGTGGAAGCCATCCAGAGGCCCCACAAATGACAGAGCTGAGAACAGGGACATCACCTCCACCTGCTGCCATTTCCTTACTGGAAAGTCCTTGGGAGGTGGCTGGGCCCAGCCCGAGATCAGGGCTCTTCAGTGGGGCTTGGGGGCCAGGGGAGGCTGGGCACTTGCAGGTGGCGTGGGCCTCCTCGCGACAAGGTGGCCAAGAGCCAGACGGCCAGACCCCTGGCAGGGGAAGGCAGGCCTGGGATGGGGCAGAGCTCTCTGCTCTCTGAGTGGACATCCCTGGCTGAGGCCTGGTGCTTGCCAACCCCGCCCCTCCCAACCCCTGCCCAGGCAGCCCGCCCCGTCCTCTACAGATAATCTAACCCCATATATTACAATAAACTGCATCTGCCTCTCCCCATAACCCCACCCTCCCCACACTGGGCCAACAGCCCCCACTTCCCCGTCCTCTAGGTCCTCTGGTGGTGGTGGGTGCTGCGTCCTGTCCTTGGCCAGCTGTCCTGGCACTGGCCCGAGGGCCTGGGGGATGCAGAGAGTGGGGCTGTGCCGCTACTCCAGGTAGATGTCTTCTGTGGGGCAGGTGTACTCCACGAACTGCTTGTAGAACTGCTGAAACGCTCTCCTAGAAGGCAGGGGACACACAGATGACCTGGGCAGCCACTGGCAAGGGAGGAGCAGGATCTCAACCCAGGGTTTTCAAATTGGGGCCGTGGGTGGGGCCCTGGTTCCCCTGCTGGAGCCCCTCAGCCTTGTTCCCTAGGAAAGTGTGTTTCCAGAGAAAGATGTCATTAGAAGAGCGAGCCCAGCAGCCACCAACTCAGAAGCCACTCCTCAGGGCCACCCGGCCCTCCCTCCAGACCTCTGCACTGGGGTTTGGGGACGGGTTTCCAGATGTGCGGGGAGGACTGAGTGACACTGCTGAGCGTGAGGGAGAAGCCCCAGGGCCCGGGTGGGCCTGGTCCCCGGGCTGAGCGCTCACCGGGACACATGCGTACGTACCCCACGGATTCTGCCAGGGCTTTGGTGGAGTCTTCAGACACAAAGACGTGGCAGGCAAACCGGTGGTCGGCGGGGTGCTTGGTGATGAACCCAAAGTACCTGTGGGAGGACAGGTCTGTGGTGGGCTGGAGGTTTGGACCCCCACACTCCCCGCAGCGGCTCCGGACCTCCACGTTCCTCCAGTTCTGTCCCATCCCACTTACTTGTTGTTCTTTGGATGGTATCCACAGAAAGAGATGTTTTTTAACTGGAAAAAGTGGCTACATTTATTCTCCTACAGAGAAAAGAAACAAGAGGGTGGTCATCCAGCCCACAGGGGTGTGGGGCGCAGAAGCTGAACACGTCTTCATGGCACATGTTGGGGGAGGGCTGGGGGTCAGGGGAAGTCACCTTGGCCTCCTGGGAGTCATCGGCCTTGACACCGATCTTCACGCCCCGCACGCTGATCTCCAGGACGCAGCTGGAGGGTGGGTTAAAGTGCACGGTGAGCCGGCGGGTGGTGGCAATCTGTGAGGGATGGGGACACATCAGGGGCTGTCTGATCATTCTTCTGGTGACCACTCCTGTCCCAGGGCCTGGTCCCTCTCTGAGGCCTCTACTGCCTCAGGACCCCTGTGTCCCTCTCCCCAGGAGACGAGTGGATGTCCTGGGCTGGGGGCAGGCATGCATCCAAGGATGCGCAGGGAGCAGGATCAAGTACCTTTTGCATAGCGGCACAGAGGACGTCATTGCCCTTGTGATAGGGAACCTGGACTGAGCCCAGGAACTTCACCCGGAACTGGTCCACCCAGTCGCTGTTTTTGGCCAGGGCTGGAAAGCAAGTGTGACGTGAGCAGGGGCAGAGCCCGCAGGAGTGGGCCCGGTGGCCACGTGAGACAGGGTGGTGAGGCATTTAGAATGACAGCCAGCAGAGGGTGCTCCAGTCCCCAGATATCCCAACTGGCCTGGGCCTCACTTTTCTGAGTTGTGAAATGGCCCTGAAATCACCTCCACCTGGGCCCCTCCCCAGCTGGCTAAGATCTGCGGCACACGTTCACCTGGCGGCAAGACAGGGCAGGCAGATGTGGGGCTGGAACGCTACCTGCCATGTGCTCAGGCTCCTTGGTGACCTCGATGGCATAATAGGCAGGAAAGACGCCCCGGGCACCAGTGCGCATGTTGTAGGCCTCGTACCAGTAGTCTTCAGCCTGTAGCTCCACCAGCAGAGGGTCATCCACTTCCAGCTCAAGTTCATCTTCATGTCGAGGCACAAACCTGTCCCCAACAAGGGCATGTGAGAAATTCCTCCCCAGGACCACTCCAGTCAGGCCTGCTCTGGGGTCCAACAGCCACTGCAGCATCGTTAGTTCAATAAATATTTGCAAAAGCATCCTGTGTGTCTATCACGATGCTAGCTCACCAGGGAGACCAAGGTCAATCAGACATGCATTTGCCATGGAAGAAATCACAGGGAGGGAGGAAGAGGTGAGCAGAGCGCCTGCTAAAACTGAGAGGTCACGGCTAGTGACCTCTGTCCAGAGGAGAGGGATCCTGGGGGGTGGGCAGGCATCCTGGTGGCCCTCCTGGGGAGACTAGGTGCATAGTCTGGGCTCCCTCACCACAGCACACCACAGCACTGTAACCATCGGTTTTGTGGACTGAGTGGACCAACACTGCTGACAGCAGGGGTTAGGTTCAGGCCATGTGGTGGTAGCACAGACAGGGAGGCATGTGGCCCAACCACCCCATGGGCTCTCACCTGAATATGGCCCGGTGAGTCTGCTCCTGCTCCTCCCCATTGATGACACAGGAGAACAGCCCAAAGGACTCTGCACCTGCAGGTGAGGGGACAGGGCTGGAGGATGGTGGTCCCAGCTCTGGTCGAGTTGTAGGGGGCAGGGAGAGAGTGCTCGGTAGTAACTCTCAGTGAAATCAGAGGGGGCCTGAGGCCACTTGCCAGGAACACCCTTCGTCCCAGCTCTGTCCACCGGGGACCCCCCCCCAGCCGCTTCCCCCCTGCTGACTCACTGGAGGAGCGGGAGCGGCCACTCATGAAGACGTTCAGGAACTTCTTGGAGAAGTGGACGTCGGGCTCATCAGGTGTGGAGTCCTCGGAGAGGCAGGCAGGGGGCCGGGGCCGGGGGGCCTCCTCGTATTCCTCTCCGATGGCCGACTCATAGGGCGAGGAGGCGGAGGCACAGTTGTCATAGACAGTGGCCGAGTCACTCTCATCGCTGTAGTCTCCGAAGCATGGCCGCAGGCTCACCAGCTCCAGCTGCGCATGCTCGTCCACCACCAGTGTATACTTGACCGAGTCGTAGGACAGAGCGCTGGTGTCCGAGCTCAGCGAGGCCCGTGGAGGTGGTGGTGGCTCCCCCAGGCTTCCCCGCCACCCTCCCCCTGGTGGCTCAGCCCGCTCTGGGGATGACAGGCAGTCGAAGCCCTCATCCTCCTCACTGATGGAGGGGTGTGGCCGCCCGGCAGTGGAAGGGTAGGCCGCAGGGTCTGGATCGGAGCTGACCGACATCCGGCTCTCGGCGGGCGGCAAGAAGGCAGAGTTGGGCTCTGCAGGGTCTGGTGGCCGCTGCACAGGGGTCAGGTAGATCTCCTCTGTGGCCTCTAACCGCACATCTGCCTGGTAGTGGATTCGGTCTCGATGTGAGTGGCCCCGGCCACCAGGTGGGGCAGCAGGGGGGCCACTTGGAGGTGCCATCTGGGTGGCCGCGCTGCGGCGGCAAGGGCTGTCGGTGGAGGTGCCTCGATCCTTGGTGGGGGCAGGGCTGCTCTGGGGTGGCAGCTCATCGCTCAGGCAGATGTGTTCATGTGGTGGTGTCTGCTCCCCTGGAGAGCGGGCAGAGCAGTGCTGAGGGTAGGTGCCCTCACCCAAGACTCCCAGGCTACCGCTCCCTCAGCTCTGAGCGTGTGGACACAGAAACTAAGACAAAGCCTCCCTGGGCAATAGGCCCTTGGCAGGCTCTGGAGCTGGTCAACTTGCTCACGCCACGGCTGACCTCAGCCCCCAGATGTGCTTGCTCAGGGATGCAGGATGGGCAGTTTACTCTACTCAGGGAAACTCAGTTGGAGACTGTTGGGTTTGCTGTCTGCAGTGATGACTGGGTTGGGGCAGGCTGGGGTCCAGGTGAGGCAGAGGGTCCCGACTTACCTGTCTTCAGGGGTGAGGATGATCGAGACACCCGATCCTGCCAACTGTGCTTCTTGCCCAGAGAATTGTTATTCAGTGTGTCCTGTGCAGGGAACAAAGGGCCCTTGTGACAGGAGCAATCAACAGTGCTTGGCACAGGGAGGCCCTGGCCCTGCCCCCCACCAGGCCAGCCCCAAGGCTGAGTACTGTACCCTCCCCGCCTCCACTGTCATGGGCCTCACTCCCTTTACTCCTCTGGAGCAGGCGGGCAGGGTAGCAAGTCGCAGCCCTCCCAGCAGGCCTGCTGGCTCTAGATGGCCCTCTTTCCTGGCTCAGGGAAGTTGGCCAACCCTTAGGGAGATGTTCTTATCAGCTTCAACAAAGGTGGTGATGGCCAGTGTGTGTGGTGGTGAGAGGGGGAGGAGGTAGGGGGAGAAGCAGGAGCTGTCTGGGGACAATGAGACCCCCAGTCCCAGACACTGAGGGTTTGCATGTGAGACACTCCAATCAGCCCAACTCAGAAAAAGGGTGACTGCCTCCCTGCCCTGGAGCTCAGGAAGCTATGGACTGGGAAGGGGTGGGACATTTTGGTAAAGCCTGGAAAAAGCACAAGGAAGGGTCTCCCCAGTAGCTGGCCTGGGGAACTGGGATGAATCATCCAAATGACGAATCCATACCATGGTTTCCCCTGCCTCCCACCGTGGCAGCACACGACTGAGGAGTGACAGATGTAGTTGTCAGCGGCTCTCCTTCCTGGATCTCCTGGGATGCCCGTCCCACATCCTCAGCCCCCGGGGACCCCCTCTCTACAATGCCTGCACACAAGACTGCCTCCCCTGGGAACTCTCGCAAGCCCTCACATTCATGAGCTGGGCTGCCAAAAGCCATTCAGAGGATCCTGGGAAAGGGACCAACTCTTTCCCTGCAGCCCCTGCACCAGCCACCAGCAGCCCCACCTCCCTGGAGCTCCTTCCCTGCACCTCTCCTGTGGGGCCTGGAAGACAAAGGGCCACAGCCAGCGCTCCCCACCCCATTCAACTCTCCCTGGCACCCAGCCACCTGCCCAGGGGCCCGAGGCCCCCAACTCAGCCACATAGTTCCAATCCCCTCCCTCCCCCCTGCCTTCTGGGAATTCTCAGATGCCCAGATCTCAAACTGGTTGCTGCCCCTGAGCTCCCTGTCCCCACCTTGCCACAATTTCCCGTGACCCACCGCTTCGGATGCGCTTTTCTCCAGGCCCCACTCCTGCCCCACCTTCACCAGGAACCCCATACCCTAAAGGGGAAACCCTGTCACAGGCCTAGGTCCCAGCTCCAAACCCTTCCAACCTCTCAAAGCCCAGTTCTCTTAGTCCCCTACTTCTCTCCTTACACCAATTCCTCCACTGTCCTTGTCAACCCTTCCTCTTTCAACCGCTCCTGGAGACTCCAACCCAGCTGGACTCGGCCTTCTTCCTTAGGACAGCTCCACCTGCTGCTCGGCGCAGCCCACCTCCCCGGGAGGGAGCCGGCAGCCTCGCTCCAGGCCCTGCCCTCCGGGGCCGGGCCCCCAGGCGCACAAGGCCCTCCCCCGCCGGCCCCTCCTTGCCCCCACCCAGTGGGCCGGGCCTGGGCCCCTCGCACCTTCCCCAGGGCGCCGCCCCCTCAGCTCCGCCCCCCGCTCGCGCCTCACCTGAGACCGCGGCACCTGCGGGAAGAGGTTGAGCGTGGTGGGCCGCTTGGGCCGGTACGTGTCCCCGCTGCCCAGGCCCTGGCCCTGGCCCTGGCCCTGGCCGCGGGGCGCCGCATCCTGGCCGGGCTCGGCCTCGGGCGGCCCGGCTCCTGGCCGTCGCGCCGCGCGCTCCTCCTCCTCCTCCTCGTCGTCCTCAGCACCGGGAGTGTCCCCCGCCGCGTCGATCAGGTCCATCTGCAGCATCTCGGCCTGCAGCCGGCTCCCCGCGCCGCCGCCGCCCGCAGACAGCAGCCCGGAGCGCGGGGGCTGCGCGGCGCGGACGGGGGGCGTCAGCAGGCGGGGCCGGGGCGGGGCCGGGCCGCAAGCACCGCCCCCGCCCGGGCGAGTCCATCCCGCGGAGCCGGGGGTGACCGGAGCCGCGGGCCGGGGGAGGGGGCGGGGGCCCCCAGCCGCGCCCGCGAAGCCGCGCGAGGCCGCCGCCTCTGCACCCCGTCAGCGCCTGTGGCGGCCACACCTCTCCCTCCCACAGGCCTCGCTCCTCACGCCTTGCGCCCTCCCGTTCCCTTGGCAACGGCCGGTGACCTCACCAGGGTTGTAAACCGAGCCCAGAGTGAAGTCACCGCTGTTGCCATGGGGACGCGGGGGTCGCCAAGGAATTGGTGGGGGGTGCCCAAGAGATGCACGAGGGTGGATTAGTATTTGAAGGGGCAGCGAGGAGACTGGGACGACTGAGGCTCAGCCAGGGGAGGGGTTGCTGAGGGCAGGCCCAGCGCACACAGCAGGCCCTGAGAGCCGCTGGAACAGGGCCCCTGAGGGGCAGGGCCACGCAGGGGCACCTGGAACCCAGGCAGTGGCATCCCCGCCCCTCTCATCTTTTCTCCTCAGCCCACCGGCCCAGGCCCCTCCAGCCTGAGACTGTCCCTCTGCCTGCCCTGCTAGTGCAGAGCCCTGTTCTAGTTCCACCTCTGCCACCAACTCCTTGGCACCTCGGACAGATCCCCTGACCCTTCAGGTCCTCTCACCAGTTGCCTGGGGACAATACTACTACCTCCCAGCTTCCTAGAGAGGTGAGGATTCGCTGGCAAGTTGTCTGAACGCCCGCCGAGCGTGTCTAAGGCCCCACAGGGGTACAGCCTGGCTAGCTGCAGGGGCCACCCTCTCCAAGGCTCTGCTGTGCATGCTGGAGGAAGGTGGTGTGAGAGTCCAGAACAGGTATGACCTCAGAGAAGCTATGTCGGGGCTCTGGGACCATCCCCAAATCCAGAGTAAGAGGCCTCTGCCTCCATCCCTTCCTGCCCTGGGTAAAGGGCGGAGAGTTGGGGTGCTGGGAACTAGAAGGTTATCTTCACCCCTTGGTTTCCTCTTGCCTGGCAGAGCTTACAGAATCTCTGGGAATAGCAGGAGGTCAACACAGAGACAGGCAGCTCTCCCAAGGCACATCCGTCCATTGGTAACCACTCTCCTAACACCACAGCTAGCTGCTGCCCAGCCTCCCAGGCTGAATAGAGGCCCTGGGCTCTGAAAGCTGGCCCTGTGCTCTGCCTTCCATTCTTTCCTGGCCAGCCCCTTCCTCTTCTGAAAGGAGGTAGCAGAGATCCCCAAATGACCCAGGCTTCCCAGCTGCTAAGGACCTCCCGGCGGCACACAGAACTTTAGAGACAAGAGAGAGCCACTTTCCCCATGGCAAAGCCAAGGGGCCAAAAGCAGCAGCAATGCTGGGTGAACCCCTCCGGGGGGTCTTTGGCACCGGGGGCCAGGGCAGGTTTGGGAGGCTGCATGGTGCAGCGTGGTCTGACGCAATGGCAGCCGTGGGAGTCATTCCAGGAGTGCTTTGGCATCTTTTTCCTGCCCCAAAGCACTGCAGAATCCAGCAGACTCCACCCTGCTTTGCCTCGGGCCCTCTGCCAGGGCTGCTCCTGAGCCTGCCCTCAACTCTGGCCCTAGTTGCTACTGTCCTAGACCTCAAGACCTCCTGCCCTCTCTCTTCTTGTGGGCAGGTGAAGGAGCTGCTTCCTTCCTTGGTCCCTGGCCAAAAAAGGGAAAAATTCTGAGTGTACACCCTAGACGTGCCAAGCATTGTACTAGGTGTTTCCTGCACATTATTCAATTTCAAGGGTGCCAAACAGACTTGACACCCCCTTTGTATAGAAGGATGCCCTCACTCCTGTCCCTATTTATCCCGCCACCCCACTCAGGGGCTCCTGGGAGCCCACACTTACCCGTAAGGACAGAGTGTCTTTGCACTGCAGGCTGATGCCACACTCATCAGTGATCTCTGAGAGGTCTTCATCCTCAAACTCCTCCAAGCTGATGTCATGGGTGAGCCTGGTGGGGACGAGAAGCCAAAGTTAAGACCCAGGGGGACTGCTGAGCCCTTCACGTCTCCCTATTCCCTCTGCCAAGGGCAGCCTCTCAAAGGCAGAGCACGGCCCCCAGAGGATGGGCTCGGGGTCCCTCTGCACCCATGCAGGGGGTGTCCAACGATCAGGGAAAGAGTTGGAGGCTCATGCCAAAAGGCAGTCCTCCTAGGGTGGGCAGTGGGAGAGGAGGCTGCGGGTTACTCCAGCTCTTCCCAGCTGGGAGCTGCCATCCTGTTGCCAACCAGGAGGCAGTGCCTAGAAGGCCCAACTGGTCGGAGTGTCAGCTCTTCCAGAGAAATGCCTCCCGGGGCCAAGGCAGGTGCCAAGGCCAGTCTACCCGTGAAGAATGCAGAGTTGAGAAGAGACTCCAAGGCATGTCTGGAGTAGAGGAACTCCCTGTGCCATCCCCGCAGTACCAGGACCCAAGGTGCCGGCAGATGGGTGGAGAGGCCCAGCCTCCCCAGCCTCAGAGGAGAGCTCAGTGCCCCCCAGCCCAGGAAGACCCACTCCTCTCGAGCCCTGGGAAGAAGTGAAGGGAAATCTGGTGTCAATGTGGGTAGTTTCAGCTCATTCCGGGAGAGACTGTGTCCTCATGCTGTGTTCTTGGTCTCATCGCTTCAACCACAAAATCTCCTTGCCTGGCATAAGGACCCTGAACAGGACGCTGTACAGATGGGGTCAGGAACAGCCCCAGGTCAGGCTGGAGGTGTCCTAAGTTCAGAAGGCAGCCCAGAGCACTTAGGCACTAGAACCCCCTCCCACAGGCCAGCCCTGAGCCCCCACCTCGGTGTGCAGGCTGGGCCAGCCACTGTGGTGCTGGTCTGTCCCCTGCACCTGCTCACCCCTGGCCCTGGGCACTCCACCTGGCTTGGTGCAGGTGGGATGTTTGGGAAGTTGGGGAGAATGTCTGTGGTTTCTCCCAAATAAGACCAAGAGATTGAGGCACAGAGCAAGGAAAACCCACTAGTCCAAGGTCACCCAGGAGAGGTGGTAGCCCAGCCCCCAAGAGAACCTAGGAGGCTCATACCCTGTGCCTCTTACCTCAATCAGACCAAACAGAGACCCTGAGCTCAATGGAGCTTTCCCCAACTCCCTCCCCACCCCGGAAGCCCCCATGCCCCTACCAGTGCTCCCACTGATCCTCCAACCAGCTGTCATTGTCTGGGCTCGAATCCATCTTCAGCACCAGCTGCATGGAGAGCCCGGCCCAGCTGGGGGGCTGCCGGGCCCCAGGGCTGCCCTCTCATGCCCAGAAGGGTGGAGGGGCCAGGGCTCAAGGCAAGGCTGGGGTCTCCACCCTCCACCGCCTGGGCCTGCCTTTTTGAGTCCTGCCGGCTGCAGAAGCCTGGGGAGCTCATTAAAAATAGATGGGCCGGGAGAGGAGGCAGCAGCGGCCCCAGCCCCAGCTCTTGTCGGCCCAGCCTCGGCTGCAGGCGGCTTCCTCCTGGCCCTTGTGCTGCTGCCGCTGTGGCCGCCTCCCCCGCAGGATCAGGTTACTGCAATCAATGCCTGGCTCCACCTGTCCTTCCAATGCCCCTGTCAGGGGCTGGGGGTGACCCCCCTCCCTGGGCCAGGCTTGTAAGCAGATGGCAGAAATCTAGGATGCTTCCCCCTAAAAGCCAGCCCCTGGTCTGCTTTAAAGGGCCAGCGCCACAGTCAGGGTGCCAGGTGGGAGGGTGGGGGGCTCCTGAAACACCCCAACAATGGATACCCCATCCACACTGCCACATGCCCAGCCCCCAGCACCTCATCAGGGAGGCTTCTGTGGGCCCAGGCCACGTCCTAACGGTGCCAGCTGGGTTTGGTCTGGGCTATCCCCTCCCGCCCCTGGGCAAGGCTCAACCCTCCAGGCAGGAAGGGCCTATGGATGCAGGAGGCCTAAGAGCCAGAGCTAAGGGCAGGCCAGCATGTGGACCTTGGGGAGCAGGACTGGAAGTGCTGCAGGGTGGTAATGAGCTTCCTGTCCCTTTGGAGTGACATAAACAGAACCTGGAGGCCCCTGGAGGGCACGGCATAGAGGGGTTCTGACCGAGGAACAGGGGTTGGGTGCACAAGGTGCTCCTTAGGGCCCTTCTGACCTGGAGCCCAAGAAGGGGACAGTCCCAGGGCCGTGGGAAGGGTGTGCCTGGCCAGCAGGGGAGGAGGGCCTGGCCCAGAAGCCAGAGCAGCCCTCCTCAGCCCAGCCAGGGCAGGGTGGCATCTCTGGCCACGAGACAAGAACCCAGTGGCCGGCACTGAGTTCAATACACACTGGCTGCCTGGACGGTCACTGAAAAAGCCGGTAGCCCAAAGAGGAGCCCCTGGGACTCAGCCAGCATCGGGGAGCCACAGGACCCCTGGGCATCTGACCCGAAGGTGCCCTCAGATCTCCTGTGCTCAGCCAGCGATGCCTGTCCACTTCTGTGTATCCTCACGCCCGGCTCCCCTTCCTCACTGCCCAGTCCTTGTCCAGCTCCTGCCTTTGCCCTCCCGACTGGCCTGCCTGCCTAATCTCCCCATGCCCGCACCATGCCACCCACCTACCACTGTCAGGCAAAACTGCCAGAAACACCATCATCCCTTCTGGCCCACTCGAAACCCTCCAAGGCTCTCTGCTAGTGGCACGCTCCTGTGCCTGGCACTCGAGGCCTCCAGCTCCACGTGTGAGCACCTGGACCCGTCTCAGTGTGGACACTGTGCTCCCCCAGCGCCCAGCCCAGGGCTTGGATGGAGCACGTGGCAGGCTCTCAAACCGTGCTTGCTGGAAGAGTGCTCAGTTAGGCCCATTCCTCCAGGAAGCCCTCCTGGCCTTCTCATGTGGCTGGTGTCACCATCTGCCTGGATGTAAGGCAGTGTGGTGGGGCAGACAGGACCAGGCCTCCATCAGGGGTGCCCACTACCCCACCCCTGGCTGCTCCAAAGTGGATAGAACTCACATACCCCACTCGTACCCAACAGGGGATCAATACATGTCCCCTCCTTCCCAGCTCCCGTCTGCACTGGATGTTCCTGGAGAGCACTCAGGACACGCCTGCTGGATGCTTGTCAAAGGACATCCTCAGCCGCCACCCGCTCCTCTGGAGCTGAAGGGTCTGCATGGGTGCTGGGGGCAGGGACAGTGAATCATCCTTTACAGATGCGGGAACTGGGGTTAACTGGGTGACGATGGAATGAGCACTGGGCTGGGGTCAGAGAGGCCACGCTTGGTCCCTGGCTCCACTGGCACAGGTGAAGGGGGCCCTCACCTTACTCTTTGGGTGCTTCTCATAAGCGAGGCAGGATGGTAGACTGATCACCGGATCAGGCTTGGAAGCAGGAGGCCTGAGATCAAATCCTGACTCTTTTACTTCAAAGCAGCTGCCCTGCCCTGGCCACCAACTTTCATGCTACATATCTCCCTTAATGCTCATCACGACCTTGGGAGCGGGTTTCACCCATTTCATAGATGAGGAACACTAAGACTCAGACATAAAGAGACTCAGGCCTCAGTTCCCCGCACACAAAATGAGGCCACCAACCGCTGCCCACCCGCTGCAGGGTGCCTGCGAGTGTTAACAGACTGGAGCGTTTGTGGACTGCACAGTGCTGGGAGGAGGTCACCACCAAGCATCTAGGGAGGCTGGCTGGTCCCTACCCCAGACCCTGCCCTTTCCTCCTCCTCCTCCAGGCACCAGATTTTCTGGATCTCCCAGCCCAAACCCTAGGAAACCCCTCTGGGCTCAAGGAAGGCAAATGTGGGGAAGGACAGAAGGAGGAAGGATGAGAGGGACGGGCTCAGGGTAAGAGACAAGGAGGTTCCCTCTTGCTCTGCCAGCTCCAACTTCCTCACTGACTCCTGAGCCCTGAGCACCAGGAGGCCCCCAACACTGAATCCTACACCCTCCACGGGTTGGCCCCTTACCCCTGAGCCTGGAGATTTCAGCATCGCCCTTTAGAGCAGCCGCTGCCCATCAAGCAGACCTGCGCTCCATTCTGGGCAGGGTGACCCTGAGGTCTCATCCGTGTTGACACTTGCTAACCTGCCTGGCCTTTCCATCCGCAGCCCCTATTCCTGCATTAACCTGGTCCCCTCCTATCTGGCGCCCCAGCCCTTTCCTCTGGCCATGCTGGCTCCTCACTGTGTCCTGGCCAGGCCACCCCCTGCTCCCCACACCACCCTGAGCTGGCATGTCCTAAATGGCCCTGAAGAAATGTGCCTTTCACGTTCTGATGTTGATGTCACGGCCTTTTACCTTGCCTTGTGCCATCATATCCCCCTGTTGGCCTTGTTCCATGGCCAGCAGTCCTAGCCCTTTCTGAGTTCCGGCTCAGTAGTGGGCTGAGTTAGGAGTGTATGCACAGTAAGGGTTAAGTGGTAAAGTGCTGAGGCTGTAGCTGAGCTAGGCCAAAACCGAGCCAGGCATTGGCTGTACAGAAGCCACTCTTGGGCCTTCGTGTTCCTGGCTGGGTTGTAGTGAGGTCAGGATGCCAGCTGAGTGACCTTGGGTCCCTGCCACGGCGCCCCATGGCCCTCTCTCATGACAGAGGGCATCTGCGGTCCAGGGGTCCAGCCTGTCCCTTCACAGCCCCCAAGTGGCAACTCAGGGCACCTGTTGCCTGGCTGCTCAACTGGAGGCAAGTTCCCTGCTTCCCTCTGGCTCCCCCGCAGGCCACTCTCCACCAGGCAGGGAAAGCAGAACCCACATGTGAAATGCAAATCTGCTCTAGTCACTCCCCCCTGTACCAGCTTTCCCTGGCCCTTAGGGAAAGGGGCCCAAATTCTCTCCTGGGGCCTGAGGGCTCTGTGGAGCCTCCCTTCCCTATCATCTCCCCTGGCACCCTCTAGCCTCCTGTTCATGGGCTCCTCCCCTCCATCTCTTCCTCTCCGGAACCTTCTCTGACCTCTGGGACCAGGCCCAACCGCCCTGCTATTGGCTCCTGCAGTCCCTCTTGGTGGTGGTTCCTGTATCCCTGTAACTTTACATCTGATTACATGGCCAGTGGTGGCCTCCCCCTACTGTCAGTTAATCCACAAGGGCAGGATCGTGTGTGTCTGATCAACATGTGTGGTGCCTAATAGGTACTTAAATATTGAACCAATGAACCACAGGTGTGCTGGGTCTCTCTAGATTTTCACCTTGGAAATCTCTGAGTCAGCCTCCCTTCAACTCAACTTCCTTCCAAAGATGGCACTGGCTGAAATGCGGAGGCGGGGGTGGGGCCTGCCAGGCTGAGCCGCATCCTCAGACCCTCTCTCGGTCCCCACCCCCAGCTCTGGGTGGACATCAGGGTCAGGCAGGGTTTGTCCTTTGGGTCTGGAATCCCCCCTCCCGACCACCTCCACACCTGCGTCATCTCCAATGAAAACCGAATCCAACCTGAGAAGTGAGTCTGGGACAACCCCACTGGGCTTACAGTGTGCTCGGTCTGTCTACACATCTTGGCGTCCATATGCAGCAAGAACCCTGGGATCCAGTTATTTAACTTTTGGGAGACTGCCCTGAGGAAGTAATCCCACCTGTGAAAAAATCTTTATACACAAGGATGTTTATTCCTCATAGCAGCAAACACTGAAAACCACCACGTGGCCAGCGCCAGGGGCTGGCAACACTGTGGCCACCCAGGGGATGGAATGTCGGGCGGCTGGGCAGCGCCCAGGCTTAATGAGCGAACATTGTACAGTCTGGGTATTAGCACAGAAAATGAAAATGAATAAAATGAACAAAAAGGCAGAATATCTGATTTTATGGTTGTACCCAGATGAATCACAGGAAGAAACTAACATGGATGCATAGTTGTTAGATGGGGTGGAATTTGGGGAGATCTTCTCTCCTTGGCAAACTTTCTGGGTCAAGCCAACTTGGCACCAGGCTCCCAGTCCTGCTCTAGGCTTCCCGCCCTCTCCTGGAGTTGTCAGTGTTCGGAGGGCAGGGCCAACGCACTCACCTTGGCACCAATTCCCCACCCCTGCTCCAAGCCACGCACAACGCCTGTGACCCTGTATACCATAGGTGCCAAATAGAAGCTATATGGGAGCAGGAATCACCCACTGGCGTCACCGGTGCTAGAACAAGGCCAGGCGCCCCGGAGATGCACCTAAAGATTTTTGAATGAACACAGGAGTAGGGCTAGGGGACAAAGATGGTGTCCTAGAATGGGGAAGAACCCCTAAGCGGAGATGGGGGCAGTGACCTGATTTCTGGGAAACACTGTAGCCCATTTCCGGAATCCAGAGACCACCTTTAAGGCTCTGACCTCAAGAAGCTGGGTTCGAAACCCAGCCTTGGCCACGGCTGGGCTGCGGGAGGCGAGTCAGCCCTCCCTGCCCCAGCATCTGAGCTTCTCCAGCAGCTGGGGGGGGGGCGCTGTCCAGGGTGTGGGGCTGGGCCGGGGGCTCCAGCAGCCTCTCCCCACCTCCACCAAGGCATGGCTCGCTGAGCAGTCACTGCTGGCATTCCTCAGCGGGGTCCTGGGTCACCTTCCTTCACTCTGCTCCATCTCCCCAGGTGGTGACGGTCTCTCTGGGGCTCCAGTGGCCTTTCTCTACATGCTGAGCCTGCCCGGGTCTTTGGCCCCAGTCCAGTCCTCTCCCCAACCAACCGCCTGCTTGAATCCTCCAGGTGGGTCCCCCTAGGACCACCCATCTC